TCCAGGCTCCCTCCAGTGTTGGTTACATAACCAAATGCTTAACCTCTTCCCTGCCAAAACTCTCTATAATAATATTCCTACTTGATGCCCCGTGGTGAGGATATATGAACAAATGTGCCCTCTTTGAGAGCAAGCAGCTGACATTTTGAGCTTATTGTCTAAAAATTGTGCTCTGCCTCAACCTGATGGCAATCAGTAACCCTCCTACATATATCAACCTTCAGACTGGCACTATATATTTTTTTTAAATCATTCCCTTTAAGACAGAGGCCTGAGGTAGAACTATGGCTTCCCATTCAAAAAAAATAGTAACTGCATTTATAGGTTGTTTTTTTTAAGTATCCCTGCAAAGTTACAAATACCTATTGATCCTGTCAGTGAGGTCCACCTAATGCTCCTTCCTGTGATGGTGTGGCAACAATGCTGCACTGTTATACAGAGCAGAATTGCTATTCTCTTCTGTTCCTGCTTGCACTACAGTGGGTTGAAGAAATGTTGCAGGGGATGTGGCTATTAGCATTGCTACTGCTGATTGACAAGCCTCTATATTGTCAATCACAACCTGACCACACCTAGTCCTGCTCACTGTTTCCTGGATTGACAGCACTGCCTCTGTTGCTGAAACCCACTGTGAGCTGCAGTATCTGAGAGGGAAGCGTGTGAGACACAAATGAAGGAGGATTTGGCTCAATCAGGAAGTTGAAGGAATTTTTTGTTTATGTTTTGATTGTACTGGATTTGGCATTTGTTTAGACTGACTTTAATTATACTTTAAGTTAAAAAGTCCTGCAGATTCGTAGTGTTTCAGAGCATTATACTCCATTCTCAAGTATGTACAGATCTATGCTGGAAATTGGGTCCTAAGGGAGACACTGTCACCTAACCCATTTAGGGCAAAGTGACAAAGTATTTGCACAACATTTCCTCGCCACTCCTTCCTTTGTCGTCGCCAGAGACAATACTTATTGTTTCTTTGTATGGGGGAGTATATAACATCCTCCCATGTAACATTGGTCAGGTCTAGCAGCCAATGACTAAGTCTGAACACTGTCACATGTGTCTGACATCAGCTGATACATGATATTTGAGTACCGGCGGTGAGGGAGGATAGAACTGCAAAGGAATGCTGGCTGAAAGCGAATCTAAATTCAGGAGTTAAATCTTAAAAATACATTCAATTACCTTAACTAGTAACAAAAATGTATCTTATTTGTGTATCACTCGGCTGTAGATCCTCAAATCATCTCTGAATTCATGCTGACAGTATCCTTACTTCTGGAGGGTGGCTATTTTTGTTCCTCATGGTCCCTAAGTGTGTTGTAAAGTAGGCACCTCTCCAGAAGGAAGGACAGTGTCAGCACCAATTCAGAGATGATTTGAGGATCTACAGCCGAGTGATACACAAATAAGACACATTTTTGTTAATAGCTAGTACTTGAATGCATTTTTAAGATATAACTTCTGAGTTTAGTGTCACTTTAAGAATCAGTAGGTGGAGGGCCCCTTTGTAAGGACAATGTCACTTTGTCCAGAATCGGGAAGGTGGTAGTTTCTCTTTGATAACCAAACCCAGTATTCACTCAACCAGTAATCTCCTTCCACTGATCAAAAGCTTTTCCAGTGGCCACGCCAGTCCTATTATGTTGTGAGCAAAATACTAGGAAAGAGAGATATGGAAAGCTTAGATATTAATAAGATAAGATATGAAATTAGAGTGGTTTCTCTTCCGGTCTGCCTTGGGAGTAGTAAAGTCCTGATTGGTTTAATGTTAAAGAAAAATGGCTTCCCATTAGACCTCCCAGAGGTTTGGTCCAGGGAAAAGCTATGACTGGTGGAAGGAGAAAGAATATTATTGGTTGAGTGAATACTGGGTTGGTATTTAAGGACAAAATTTCACTATTACAGAGCAGAACTGAAGATGCTTGAGAAAGACGTTTAATGATCCACAACTTTGCAACATTCCTGGGCTTAATCCAAGGTTAACTATGACTTTTAAAAGAGCAATAATAAAGGCATGATGATATAAAATTATGGTTATGGTCCAAAGATTGATATATGTTTGCTGACAGGGAAGACAGTTTACGAATAAGCAGTTCAGTTGTGTATTTCGCTGTTTGGCCGCACTTACGCTTTAAATTTCCTCTCTAGGGATGGAGATCTAAGCTGTATTGACCCAGTGATGTGTAATCTTATTGTCTTGGGGGTAACCTCGTGAACAACTCCCTAAGGGATCATGTGATATTTCAGCTGTGTTCATTATTTTACCTTGTGATAACTTTTTCACTACAATGTACAATCCGCACACATGAACACTACATAAGTGTGGAATTATTATTTGCTTCCAATAGCCATTTAACCACAGCAAACCTATATTCATGAAATCAATATTTTATTTTTTGAATTAGCGTTTTATCTCCATGTCAAATAACTCTTTTTTCTGCTATCGTACTAAGAACCTTGCAATTATCACTAGGAAAAGAAGGAAATCCTGTGTGGAATTCATTGTAAATTGACCTTTACATACAATATAAAGTAAAAAATGATAACATAGTTTGCATGCTGATCCATGCATTAAAACATTTGAATGGAAAACATAATGAAAGTTAGTAAACTGCATATGGTAATACAAATTGGCAATACTTTAGTAAATTGGCCCTTAAAGTTAGCCAGTAGTGGGCACTTACTGTAGATAGTAGGAACCTTCAGGTACCCACATACAGCCCCTGCTCCCCTGTAGAACATCCTGGGACCCCCAAAGCTCAAGATACTTAGAAATGCAACTATCAACTGTACACTGTGGCCATCTTGTAAGTGTTTCTTTTTATCCCTTATTAAACTTTATGTGATATACTTCACTATTGGAGTTTTTTCTCTTTTGGGTACGGTGATGGTCCTGTGTGACATCTTGGAGGAATAGCCTTTCCATCTATCTGAGGATCGCTCATCATATTCTTGTTTGCACTGCGTCTGCCTGCCATTCTGATTTATATAAATCATTGAGAGATCTGGATATTTCTGCCTAATATCTTGGAGGAATTGCTTGAAGGATCCTTTTGGACCAGATGATTTTATAAAGACTACTTATTATCCTCTTATATATAATGCTCATTTTTAAAATTTTTTTTTTTTTAGGAATTATTGTAATCATGTCTTATTAGTTTGATGAGTGTTTTTTTTTTCATTTTTTACACGAACACTGTGGATGATTTTGTCTTTTGTCACTTTCTATATGAATATTTATGATAATTTTTATATTATTATGGACTATTCGTTTTGGTTTTTTACACTACCTGATTACTTTGTTTTTTATGCTCTAGTGCATTTTTTAAATTTTTGTTATTATTTATATTTAGCCATTTGCCTGGGGTTCCACTTTAGATCTGCAGTCACCATCCCTACTTCAAAATCTCAAAAACCCTCCAAACTAAGACAGGGACCTGAAAATATTGACTTTGATTGTAAGCGTAAAGTAATATGAGCAGCTGTGGGTAAAATGATGTTTACTTCTGTAGACCAATCGTGAAGATCCAGTACAGTTCCTCTGGCCATTTCTTTTTCATGACGCTGCAGATCTTTCTGTTAGAGGATTTCCCATTGGAGACAATAAGTTTGATAATGAGTTTTGGCAGACATCGATGTTTGCAGCACAAGAAGGAATTTACATAAGCACTGCAAAGGTAAATATCAGTTTGCAGGAGGCCACCCCCAACACCCTGCACCCAAGATGGACAGAGATTTATTTTGCAATACAGTGGTAGAAATATCTGTTCACATGTGTGACATATGCTAACTCGATTGTATAACATAATTTAAAGGATAATTAAACCAAAGAAATAAAATGTAATATATTGCAGCTTAACTTCTGGTGAATGCCTTTTTTTAAATCTTTTAAACTAAGAACATTTTTAGCAGGTACAGATAATACCTGCTGATCTTGACAAAAATGATGTGTCCTTGTCACCATTTGATAAACTGGAAGCAAAAAAATATATTTTCTCATGTAAACTACTAATCTTATCACAGCCTCTATGTAATGTAGATGAACAAAGGCAGACATATTGGAAGTCCAGCCGGTGTGACAACCATGGTTTCATCAATAGATACAGTGGAGGAATGAGTGCAGCCACCCAGGGACAGGAAGTGTGTTATTTACTGGATAGAATTAAAGGGGAAAGTGCTTGAAAAAAAGAAAATCAGTGAATCCACCTCTTCTAAGGAATGGTGAATTACGATATATTACTTTTATTTGTTATTCTGTCCAGCCACCTAGGTGATCCTCATACCCATTAAACACTACAGAGCAAGAGCTGTGACCTCACTTTTCTCTAGGCCAAAATACAATGAAGCTTGTTCATCAACTCCCCCCTACCCGCTGATTGGATAGTGATGGCACATTAGAAGTCCTCCCTTTGCCCCCCAAATAAGCTCTAAGGTCCTGAAACCATGTTAGACTGATAGCACTTGAAGTGAACCTCCACCTTACCCATGCAATGCAAAGCCATAGGTTCATTTGACTGCCATTCTCCCCATATGCACATACTTAACTTCCTATTCCTCCTCTGCCATTCTGTTTGGCCAATGAGAGGAAGCCCTGTGTAGGTTTCAAGTCATGACTTGAAGAAAGCACAGGGGCTGAAAACTCTCCTAACCTCCATGTGACAGTGCTGGGTACAGCCAATCACAAAGCATAGTGCTGTTACATGGGAGAAAGAAGATTTACCGGAAGTATGGTATTTCTCTTGGCTTTCAGTGGCCGAGCATAGCTGAGGAAGCGCAAACAAAAATGCTTATGCCCAGCTGGGGAGGGCAGCAGTTAGGTTAACCCATGGCTTTGACCTGCATGTGCAAAACACAGGATCACTTTAAAATCATTCAGATTGCTCTTTTAGCTTATGAATGACACATACAAAACATCTTAATATAACCAAAAACAGTACTGCAATTTACATTATTTTACCTTTCTACACATAATATTATACAAAGGTTCCTCCCCAAGTTACCTGTGTCCTGGCGGTACTGATGCATGGTCTGCAAGTCAATAACGTACGGGGTTAGCTGTGAGTCCACCTGTCCTAATGCCACTCGTCCACGGCCATCTTCTCGCAAAGCATTCTCAATATGATGGCATACCGTTGCAGTATAAGGCCTCCAGCGTCCATGCTCATTCAGCCACTCCCAAACCACAACTCTTGGAGGTGCCCCTTGACCTCCAAAATTCTGACCAGTAACTGGCATCAAGACATTGGAGCGTGACATGGCAAGCAAGTCTTCAGCTGTGGTGTCAGACAAGATGAGTAAGTGTATTGCAAAGCATTCGGCGGAAAGGTTTTAATGATGGTCAAAATATACATTCAAATTTACGTTTACGTTCTCAAACCAATTACAGGGCCCTTCACAGATCACATGAATAATTCTTGCTTTGCCTGTTCCGTGGCACTCAATGTTCAATGTCATTATGCCTTGTGATACATTAAAAATATATACGTTCTTCCTGAATCCATTTACTTTGATAGTCAACTGTCAGCTCTTGTGGTCATATGTCCATAAACCCAGATTTGCGTTACTCTGAAGGCTCAGGTTCCTATAAGAGACATATAGAGAGAATTACACACTGTTCTGTATTGATATGCTTGGTTTAACGCACTGTCACACTGCAATGCTCAATATGTTAGCATTTGTGGTTTACTAAAAACATGTAATGCTGTGTGTATATAAAACACACACACACACACATATACTGTATATATTATCCATATGCATAGTATACAAATCAAGGTTTGCATTTCTTTAAAGTCTGTCTTTAAGCTTCCACCAATGGAGGTGAAATGGTTAATATTCTCCATGAAGACACATGAGTGTATATAATAAGCAGAACACCATAAACTGATTGTCCTGCTAATACAGAGACACACAGCATCTTCAGACTGCAACAGATACACAGAGCCATAAATTAGCCCACCCCAGGGGCCAATGCATGCAGGAAGGGACCCCCCCAGCACCCCCGGATTTGATGGATAACATGATTGCTCCATCTTTTTCATGAGAGATGATCCTAGCGATGTGTTAGATGATAGGAGGATAGGAAAGGTACTCACTGTGGTTTCATCTAGCAGCCGGTTATTAGAACATACATTGTCGCTGGGGGTCTGATCTCCCTTGTGAGCTGTTGTGAGGGTGGGGGGCTCAGTGCTCCTGTGTTTGGTGATTCCCAGGGGCTGGTAGAAGGGATGCAGGAGGCTGACATGTGTGTCCACCCCCACCCCCACCCCATCTCCTCCATCCCCCGACAGGGTACCGGGTGGGTGTGCTCAGGTAGACAATCTTGCTGCGGTGGTTTCTGGTGGCTGTCAAGTGTATTGATGATGATGTGCTTGTGCAGATCAGGCGCAGGGTCTTTGGGTCAATGGGGCTGAACACGATGCTGGCCAAAGGGGGGGCTTTACCCCTGATCGATGGATGTGGGGGGCTGCAGAGCTGCAGTCTATGTGTCCCTGCACACACAATCGCGATCCTCCTGCCACCATCTGCTCCCTCTGTGGGTGACTGTCATCCTCATACCTCCCCTGTACCCCTCTCCTCCATCCCCCCGGGTGTGCAACCTGTGCAGTAGCGGAGTCCTCCCTGTGCTGCTGCTAGATCAGCCCGAGCCTCCCAATCCCTATGTATGTGTGTGTGTGTGTGTGAATGTGTGTGTGTGTGTGTGTGTGTGTCAGTCCTTCCCTGCTGCATCCCTCTCCCGATGTCTGTCTGTATGTCTCAGCAGTGCTGCCTCTGCCTATACTCCAGGGACATACAAATTCCAATTGTGAAGACCAAAAGAGGGGAGCACAGCAAAGGGAGGGCCACTGACTTGCTGAGATTGCTGCACTTATAATGAATCGATGGTCATGTCCCTCCAACTAAACTCACACATAGCGATTTTATTATAAAATCAACACCCCCTGTGATTGTGACAGCTTGACACCGTCTAGTAATTGCAATGCATTTAAATGAAGTCACATGGTATATAGCAAATCCTGGAGATTTAGGGAGTTCATGTATTGTTTGCTGCAGTCATCTAGTTTGCACAGATTTTGCTTCATTCCATTGCACACGGTTAGGTGTTTGAAGTCAACTCCTCTATGTAAGGAAACCTGAACTATGAGTAATATGTAGACTGCCATTTCTGAACTCCTTCTGAAAATGCTAATCGCCTGGCTGTCTATGGCTTTGACAGTTTTGAGTCACTGGCCCAAAATAAGCAGATCAGAATGCCAGCCAAAATTTTAGGGCTTGTTCATACTATCTGCTGGATGCATTTCTTTTTTTTTTTAATTGGTTTTGCTTGGGTTTCAGGATGATCTGGTGTGTTCTGGTGCATTGACATGCATTTACATGTGCTTTTGTGCATTCTGGTGTCAAAAAAAGCACGCTGCTGTACCTTTAAAAACAAAAAGCTCTGGAAATGAATGCAGGGGTGTAAACTAGTCCTTTTTAAAACCATGGGAATTACTGTGTATGCGTTTTTTGTGCAGATAAATAACGCACCGATCTGGAGATGGTGTGAACAAGCCCTTAGGGCCAGTTCACACCACAAAAGACTGCGTTCCAGAGCATTCAGCCTCTGGAACGCAACACGGCCGGCTCCCTGCGTTCAGAGGCGGGAGGGGGGCGTGGCGGTGCATTGAAGTCAATGGCACCAAAGCCACGCCCCCCACCCGCAGTGCAATCGCCCGCACCCGAACACGTGGCACGTGTGTTCCAGTCCAGTGCGATCTGCAAAGATGCTGCATGCACTATTTTTGCAGATCACACTGGACCAGAACGCAGGCACTAATGTGCATTTGGGTGCGGGCAATCGCACTGCGGGCGAGGGTCATGGTTGTGGTGTCATTGACTTCAATGCACCACCACATTCCTCCCACCCCTGAACACAGGGAGCCGGCCAAGTTCCGTTCCAGTGCGTTCCAGAGGCCGAACACTCTGGAACGCACTCTTTGTGATGTGAACCGGCCCTAAGGCTACATTTACATCTATCAAGTAGGTGCAATTTGGTATTACTGCAGCAGGAACTAGCAACTTTCTGCAGCAGGAATCCCACATCTTCCATTTTCAAGCGGCCGCTGTTACCTGTTAATGATCAGGTCACAGTGACTGCACGATCTTGCGTCCAGGGACAGTTATTTGATGCCTAACTGCATGTAATCGTATCACACATATGATCGCATACAAACTCATACAAATATATGAGGAGCGCCAGCGCACTGCTGCTTTGAAATGCGATCAGCCGATTATTAACTTGAATGAGTGACAGCTGCCGCTTGTAAACGGAGGATTTGATATTGCTGCTGCATGAAATTGTATGTTCCTGAAGCAGGAATCCCTAATTGCAACTAAACTATAGGAGTTAATGAGGGTTAAATCTGTACACTTTTTTCCAGGTCAGTCATTCAGACAATATTGAGGTTACTGGATCAACATGACAGGCAGCCAAGTTACATTTTCAGAAGGATAGGTAAACAATGGCAGCCTAAGTATTTCTCTAAGCACGTGTTTCCTGGACCCAATTTGTGGACCCAATCCAAAAATGTTATATAAACTTTAACATGTCAATGTAATTTCATAAGTAATTTTCAATATCTTTAAATCTACAAGTTTCATTAAATTCCTGGTGATCCTGCCATGAAGGTCCTTGTTCAGGCACCTCCAGTGATAACACTGTGTGCCTGTCTCCCAATTGTGCTCCTGCGTAGTCACCCTTTCACACAGGCTTTCATATCGACTACAAGTTTCAACACATAGGTGATCAGCAGCACTGAGATGCAACAAGGGATTATGAAAGGTGAAAACAAGTAATCTAAGTTTAAAAACGACAAATGTTTATAATAACATGGTTAAGAAAATGAAATATCAATCAGTAAGGCTGCTTTTGCACTGCAGATTCCTGCAGCAGGAATGTCAGGTGTCCCCTTCAGATGCGGCTGCTGTACCAGCTCAAGTTAGTGACCGGGTGACAGTGGCTGCATCTGTAAGTGGCAGTCTGCATGTAATCGTATGTGATACGATTACTTGCGGTTAGGAATGGATGATGATTGTCGCTGAACGCAGGATAGATGCATGCATCGACAGTGATTTATTCCAAGCCTCAAGTAATCATATCATATACAATTACATGCGGACTGCCGCTAACAGATGCATTTACTGTCACCCAGTCATTAACTTGCATGGGCACAGTGGCTGCATCTAAACAGGATATCTGGGATTAGTAGGTTCCTGCTGCAGGAATCCCAAATCGCCCAGTGTGAACAAAGCCTTAGGGTTAAGATCTAACTTCAAGGACCTGCCATTTGTTCTCATTTACAATGTTCTCACTGTTCATCTGTAGATAATAAGTGCTGTTTGCTGCATTTTCTGGTGGGGAGCAAACAACTTGACTCTGGAAGCCTTCTATGCAGGTGCCTACTCCTTTAAAGGGTACATTCAGGTCCGGATTTACTCTCTCTGCTGCCCCAAGGCCAGGTTCCTCAATCCACCCCCCACCTGCCAAAGCCCCTCCCCCCCAATGGAGAATGGCAGACCTGTAGGCGGCAAATAAGTGATGTCGGCGACATCGCCGAGATCACTTGTACAAAACAAGCGGCGGCTTCCCCGCTGTACATTTAGCTCTGCTTGCCCAAAGCAGGGCTAAGTGTAGAAAACTACTACCCGCCCGGCGCCCCGGATCTACGCGCCCAGGCATCGGGAGATAGGAATTCCACACCCCTGCTGCCCCTCTACTCCCTGCTGCCCCGAGGCCGGGCCTTGTGGGAAATCCGGCCCTGGGTGCATTGATTACAGTTTTATTTTATTTAGTAAAGTGATGGAAAATACAAATTATTATGTTACAACAGCAATACTGCCCTACAATAAGATGACACTGGTGAGGAGACAAAGACAAAACAGTATCAAGACAAAAAAAAAAGGGTTGACTATAATTTGGCCTCAAATTGTGACATACATCTTCCAGAATACTCACAACTTTCCCCAGGCAACACGTCCACAGTAAATAACTGGCAAGCATGTATGTGATTGTTGCAAAGCCAAAGATTTCCCTAGGGATTTCAGAAGGAAACAATCCCTCACTACTTTGCCTTCCAGTATAACATGTACTCTCAATGTGGTCATTGTGTTTTTCGATGCAGTGTTCAGCAGAACCTACTGAATCATATTAAAGCCTTCAATGACCGCCAAGGTCTGTCTTGGGACACAGTGGTTTCTATGTATGTTCAGAACTATGCTAACCTTTGGAGATTGTGTGATCCATGGCAAAACCAAACTCATTCAAAACCAACATTGGTAGTCCAATGCAGCTG